ATTATAAATATACGTTGCGAGCAATTTGTTATTAACAATATTAATTTGTTATTAACAATCAGTTTAATTATTTATAAACTTTTTTCAAATTATTAGTACATTTTAACACAAATATGTTACAAATACATGTAATAATTAATAATTTATTAATTTTTTTAACTTTGATTATAAATTTACGTTGCCTCAGGGACCAGCCCAGACTAGGACCAAAAGGTGCTAACTTTGTGTGTTAAATTCTTCGCCATTTTTGGACCTAACGTTTAGGAATTCCTGTTATAACAATTAATGCAGTATTTCCGAGTTTTATGAACACGTCACCCACAGCCGGTGGCCCATTAGTCTGGACCTGAACGGAACAGCAAGCAAAACGGTCTGGGCACTTATCGTGTTAACGTCTGTTCGCGTCATCAGAGTTACTAGACACCCCCTAGATCCACCATTGCATTGAAGTTGCTTAATGCTTCCTCGTATAAAAGAATATCGCCAACGATAGCACAATTTTCTCTAATTAATCGAGCCTGTCGTACATAATAGATTAAATCGAAATAGTTCTTCATAGAGATAAGACATGAATTCCAAAAATGCGTTTAGTCCTGCTCGGACTATGCGAAGAGAAACTCGCATGTCGGCAAGGAGAGATGGTGAGCTGATGTAACCTAGAAATAATTTATCCCTCGTAGTATCGTCTTAATAAATCGCAAAAGTAATCGACAGTGACCACCCGAGAAAGGAGGCCTATATACAGCGTAGTGAACGAGTCACGATCCATGAAGTTGAGGATCGAGCATCACACGAAGATATTCGCGTCGATGTGTCCGGATGAGATTCTAGATCACTACGACGATTACGAAACTAGAATGTACTACACCACCTTGATGCTCGGCGACGTGTCAGGTATATATTGACCAATTGAGTCTGCAGATATAGAAATAAATAGAAATTTTCGACGAAGGCTTCACGGATCTCGCTGAGAAGTACACCAAAACCGGGAAAGGTGGACCGTCGAAATTGACGGAGACTCTGAATAGCTACATCGGTGCTATGGTGCAAGAGATACTCTCCCACAATGGTGACGTGTTGAAGTTTTCCGGAGATGCGTTTATAGTGATGTGGAAGCTCCACGAAGGGATGATGATGCGAGACCTGGCCGTGGAAGCCATGCAAACTGCCTGTATCATTCAGAAACATTTTGGAACCTACGATACCGAGGTTGGGGTGACGCTTAAGGGTTGGTTCATCGTCACCTGAGGATCTTTTACGCTTGCATATTCGGTGACACGATTTACGAGACATTTTTCGCTTCGTTTCTGTAGTCAAACTGGCAATTGCTTCTGGAAGAACGTACTTTACATCTATCGGAGATCCAGACACCATGTCTCACTATATTATCACTGGAAAACCGGTGTGGGACGTGAAATTCGCCGAAGGCCTTTGTCGGTAACACCGTTCAACGCGAATTTTAATATGTGATATCCATTGGACAATACTTGCAGAGTTTACTTGCCTAAAAACGAATCTGCAATCAAAATTACTCTGTAACGATCTTAATCTATATTAATTTGCGTAACTCTCATCATTTTCCAAAAATTTTTCTTTGGAAAATGGTACCAATTTCCAAGTCTCACCACGTGGAGGTGGCTACACGTTGAGACTCAAACAATACGTCCTACTGGTGACAATCTGTTGGACAGTGCAATCAGAGAAATCTCTCGTTATCGATAATTCCAAGGATTACAAATTTCATGTTAATTATATTAGAGGAGGCGACATCCTGGTGGCTCCCAGCAGCTGGCAATGGGTGAACCCCAACGAATATGTCCACGAAACGCTTCCAGATGGTATACACACCCTCATCGTAACTTGCACTGGCATGTGGTATCAGTCTAGAGAAGAAGACATAGTAGTCAGTACAGATGGTACAAACCTAAAACGTTACTTTCGATTCGATACATTATTGTCCATTCCTCCATGCAACTTTTACCGATATAAAAATTAGACGTACAATCTTACACAGACGAAGAGAGCGAATATGTACCGGATATGCTGGAATCGTCGGTCGTATCCAAATTGAAAGTCAATCATGAATCTGAAATGACGTTGCTGAACATGGTCGACGATTTCACGAGAGGAAAGTTCAAGCAAGTCGATTACAGCTGTAAGCAGGATAGATCGACGAGTTCTTTGGAAAAAGAGTCTATCTGTAGGGATACTTTTGATTGGCAAATATAGGGAATAAGAGGTGTTGGTTTATTCCAATATATTATTTATTACGAGCTGAAAGAGATTTGGGAGTGCAGTACAAACTAAAAGACTAGACTAATAACCAAACTATGATCACGCAACTAGTACTCTCACATCGACTCTTCTTCAAACTCTGTAAAGGACTGTCTTAGGACAGCCCTTGCACCCTCGTTTAGACCTTGCACTCTGTCTTCTTTCATACTCATGCTCACTTTTTTAATCATGCATTTCTCATAGTCTCGCTCTCGGTGGGCCACGTACCCTAAACACTCGGATGCCTTTTGCTCTTCATTTGTCATTCGATGTAATCATAAATATTCCATTCATCCGATCCTTGCATGTGAACACTCGTCCTTCCCACGTGCACTCCAGACGTCACTCTAAACATTCGGCCTGAACCCTAGGCTACTGTTTATTGCCCATCATCTGCTAGGTAGACCCAAGTATTCCTTTACATTCGCTTTCAAACCCTAGCATTCCTACATATCAACCAAACTCGGATTTCCACTCTGTGTGATTAATTAAAATTCAGTAAAACAAATGTTGTATAATTCGGAATTTGGTTTGGTTTGGAAAAGAGGACATGTCTCGACAAATGCTCTTCTTCCAAAGATCTCCTCAGTCGTAATAATGGATTCGATGCTCAAAAACTCGTGTTCCAGTGCGACCTAAAGTCATAAAGATAGCAAAGGCTCATCTGAAGGAAGCACTGAAGAGCTACATGCTGAGACCAGTGATTCGATCCGTGGAAATGGACGAACCTCTGGAATACCTCACCGAGATGAGACGAGTAGTAATTCTGTTCATCAATGTAATCACTTCGAACGTGGGTAAAAGAACATTAATCTCTCTGGTGAACTCGGCTTACAAACTGGTGTGCAGGTAAGCCTCTGTTGCTCCCTGTTCCTTTCATCCGTTCAATTTCTCTTCGACATTTCGACGAAGGATCGTCGGCGGAATGCACGGATGCGTGAACAAAACGTCCCTCTTCGACAAGGACCTGATGTTCCTCTGCGTATTTGGTTTACGGGGCGATAAGCACGAGCTGGAATCGCAAATCGGTTTGAGATGCGCGTCGAAGGTTCGATCGAATCTCTCTGCGTTGGAAAATATCAAATCCGTGACTGTAGGGGTAACTACAGGGATGACGTATTGCGGGGTGGTTGGACACATTTTACGGAGGGAGTACACCGTGATCGGGATGTCGGTGAACAAGGCTGCGAGGCTCATGGTGGCGTATCGGGACAAGGTCGGTAAAGCTCTCTATCTTATTTCAATACGTAACAGACGAGGATAGAATAATGGAAAATACTGTAAGGATCAAGGTGGTGATGGATAATGAGGTGTTACACGAAGACGAAGTATTTATTACATGGTACCAAGTATATCGCAGATGGACACACAGACTCCAATTGCTCTATACTCCGACTCTGACAACTACTTCAATACTCCCTCGAATTAACCACTGACTCTATTAACTGCTACTAAGCCTCAACTACTCGCTAACTTCAACGACTAACTGCTTATTCTTACGACTCACTTGACCTCTCGACATAGGCCTTTTAAGTTTGTCCAAAAGGCAAGCTCCACCCCTAAAGGCGTAATAGGTCTTCTAGTGCTTAACTCTAAATCCCATGTATTAAAAATATCCCACATTACCTAGGTGGTCTGCGATCGAGAAAGCTTCCTTCACTCTCATCTAGAGGCCAGACACTTCATTCTCCAGGAGCCAAGATACTTGAAAGGAATCACGAATATCGGACCCATATACGAGTTTCAGGAACAACCAAAGTAATTGCAATTATTATCTACTATTAACTAATCTCTTTTAATTTCCTTTATTCATTCGCTGAGTTCGTGCAGAAGCGTATGTATTGATTTTAATATTTTCTAAAATACTCAGCTTCTCGATAATGGTAAATTGGATCGTGTTATCGAATGTCGTAATTGCTTACTAAATCGATAACGAAATCTTGGGGAATTCTTGTCGATTGTTTTCAAATAATTCGGTCCTCGATGGGTGTCGATATTTCGAAAAGGAAATTGCTAAAATTGCGTTTCACTTCTTAGATACACCGTGTCGGATTTAGTTTGGAATAAATACCCTTTACTTGGTCGGATGAAGGAAGTGGAAACGTTCAAAATAATGCTGGTGAAGCTGTTGGAGTACTCCTCTTCGAGCAAAGCGACTCGTGGCACGCGACCAGAGTACAACACACTTCTCGTAAAGTACCTACCTTCGACATGTAATCTATCACTGTGAAAATACCTCGACTAACGACGTATGCTTTTTAATCGTTCATTCGAAGAGGCGAACCTCGAATAGGGAAAACGAGGCTGCTGGACGAATTTACGCAAAACATCCCAGTGGGAACGCGGTGTAATTACATCTCGTTGCAAACAGAGGACAGCAAGGTTGATATTTTATTCGATTCTTACAAAATTTGGAAATTTTAATCAGTAGCAATTAATCGACCCTTTGTCTTTCTCTTCGACTCCTGGACACCGATGAAACGTGATTTATCCCTCAGTGCAGGCCCCGTACAGTCTGATACAGCTATTATTTTCCTTGCCTCTGGGTTTCACCCCCACGTCTACGCGAAAAGAGCGCGAAGACAAGCTGCTTTTACGCCTGGGCAACGTGAGGCAGTCGTACTTCCTGTGCGTCCTCAATCAACCCTTCAACGTGCGTTTCTCTATCACAAGGCATTACAATATCCTGACCGAGGCTGAGAAACGAAAACTTTTAAGGAAGTTCCTGTTGAAGTTGATGAAAGGCTGCTTCCACGATCTGTGGGTGGTGATCATCGACGATGCGGAATACAGCGATCCCGAGTCCTTGGAGATCTTTGACGTCCTCACAAAGAAAGATCTGATATTCTTCGTACTGAGTATCGGCAGGAAATTGGGCACGGATTTCCCGTTGTATTTCAATCTTTTGCATAGAGGAAAGGTAATTTATTTAACACTAGATCACTAGAGCTACCGATCCAACGCTAGAGTTACTGAACTGGTTAATGTGACTGGTTTGAGATTCTTTTATTTTTACATTTATCAAACGTATAACTATAGCGATAGTATTAATTCTTTTCCTTTCTTTTTGAAAATGATAAATTCAGTATTAATTAAACGTGGAATCGTTTGTTAACAGGTAATCGAATTGACTGGAATAGACAAGTGGTATCACGCTGGTTTAGCCTGTCAGATCCTCAACGTAAATGGTCTACCTGCAGAGCTTGAGAAGTAAATTTATCTTGGAATAAATTTCAAGATTTACCATCGGTTTCATAACAATCCTCTTGATAGGTTGATACAAGAAAGAAGCTTTGGAAACCCTGGCTGGATCGAGAGTTATTTAGTGAGTCTCCTCCAGGTCGGAGGTTTGGTGATAATAAATATAACGAAGAAGGAAGCAAACAAAAAGGGTTACGTGTTACCACCCATATCTATGTTAAAAAGGTTCGAACAAATGTATTCGTGAATACGAAATACGTAATCACTGATTTCTCGGAATTTATCAGATTTGTTTCGAACGGAGACAGTGACACTCGCAACTATCGGAAAGACAGATGGCAGATGTACAGAGCAAGCTTCAAAGTACGTTTTCTTTTCGTATGAAAAATTGCTTCTTTCACCGAATCGATAACATTTCACACCAGGACAGCATGATATCGTTACTTGAAAGGGACATGAACGGAGCAAGCAAGGCTCATCTAAGTATCGACAATGATGAAACAATGATTGCAGTCTGCGATATCTCTGAGAGCTTCATGTACGAAGATGTGGACCCTGAAATCACGATGGATGGTAAGAAAAATAAGGATCCATTTATTTGTAACGTTGTTACGTCAATAAATAACGGAAAATGTGTCGTTACCTCAGTTATGATCCTGAAGCTTTTCGATTCTTTGACACCACTGGACCAGCTTCTCCTGAAATGCGCTTCCGTGATCGGGGAAACGGTAAATAGGCACATGCTAGAGAATTTAATGACCATCACCTCTAGGAGAGAAGTCGGACTTGGTAATACGATCTTCATTGTTCCTAGTACATAATGTATTACTCACTATCTAGAACTATACGATTTACTAGCTGTCTCGAAGCTCTTTGAAATACGAGTTTTTGGCTGTGCAATTGGAGACTTTTCTAGGAATACAGGCCCTATAATATTTATCAGAAACATGCGAAATCCTAGCGCGGAAATGGACGTCTTCTGCAAGTGTATTGGTCTGCATATCCCAGGTATTAATCGCAATCGACGAAGAAAGTAATTTATGAAAGAGAATTGCACGAATAATGCGCTTGAATTGTTGAAAAGACGCGTTTTCTTAGATGAACTTGTAGATTTGCCAAGGTACGCTTCTTGTGGCTTGATGAGGTTCAAAATGTCGATGTTTCGTGACACCACTTATCGGTACTGATTGTGCATTAATTATTTAACTTTTTAATTGTTTAATTTATAAATATCGGAGGAAAAGATATTAAAATCGTATTAAAAATTATTTACGAAGGTTACTCACGGAGAATCAAAAGATGGAATTGCACAATCAAGCGTTAAAATACCTGCAACACCACGCAAGACGTTGTGTTTCTTGCGGAGAAGGTCAATTCGCAAAATTGCTAGGAAAAGTGTCGAAGAAGGAGGACCGGAAGAAAAAGGTGGCAGACATTGATAAAATGTTTGAAATGGAATTTGAAGATAGTGCGACCGAAGAAGAAAGCAAAAGTGTGTTAAAACATTTCGCTCTTGATTTTGTTCAAATAATATTGGCATGTATTAAATAACAGAGACCAACATACTACTTTCTTGTCTGAGCTTATTTCGAACCGTCGAAAGGAAGCCCACAGTCACATTTTCAGACGTGGATTTCTCTGGGTGCCTATGCGAACTGATATTGATGACAGTTTACACGCAAATACTCGAACATTGTCGTGGTATTGGTAGATATCTTCCTTAATCGCAGTTTATTTAATTTGCTAATTGTAATTAATGAAAAAGAAAAATGTTTATTACAGGAAAAACTGAAATGACACTAACTGCCCTTTTGGAGTTCGCGGAAATTTGCCTGATGACCTGCAACATACCGCAAGCTCGGAAGCTTCTAGCAGAGAGCGAAGTTGTCCTCGAAGAGGTGTATTAAAATTTTTCTTTGAAAAATATAATATTTATGTAATATTTATCTAATCGAATGCGTTCCATATTTGAAGTTGTTCCAATCGGACGAGGACGAAATGGTTCTTCTACCCTATCTCACTGCGAAGATACAGACTCTTCAGGGTCAATGCTTCCTCGAAGGCGGCTCCATGTTCGAGGCCGAACAGTCTCTCGAAATGGCTCTAGTCAGCTTAGGATACAAATTTCCAAAGCTAGAAGTGATGATCGATCTGAACTCGTTCACGCAATTGATAAGCTTGAAATTGAAACTGATATGCTCGAAGATGTGGGAGCATAATACCACTCCCGAAGAGGAAAGCGTGGATTATACTAAACAGTTAGCAGATTGCTTAGCACAGATGTTCGAACTTTTCAGGGTAATTCTATCCGTGTATCATAATTAAACTCACTTAAACCTATTCTAAAACGATTCGTACTTTTCCATATAGATTAAAGGTATGAAGAAGCACGCCCGTTTAGCCGCAATTTGGGGTTTGAACGCGGCTTTGGAGTCTAACAAGAACTTATTCGTTCTCTGCACGTCGTATACCAACATGCTGATAACAGCACACATGTACCAAGACAGGTGATTTCAATTCCCAAACTGTCGTCAAACGTTTAACATTCTGACGAATTTTTGATACAACCCTACAGGCACATCATCCCTCACTTGGAGCAGAGGGGTATCGATATTTGCAGCGAGAGCAAAGAAGCACTCGAATCTCAAGAATTAAACGTGATCGCCCAACTTTACGCAGGAATATTCTTCTCTCGTTGGGTAAGGGGACAGATCTCAAAAGCCATCCGGATCGGTTTCATATGCTGCAGAATGGCCAGCACCATTGGATTCACGGCTCTGAACTTGTTGATACTACCACGGTTAATCCACTTACTGATGATCTCCTGTCGACATTCAGAAGTGGTTACTCAGTTAAGAGAATTAGGTGAGCTAATTAGATAGGCTAAGCTAATCGTAGCTTGTAATAGCTGCGATAAAATGAAAATGATTCTCGCGATTACAGAATTCTTGTCTCACCATGATCTGGACAAATGTGGACGTACTTGGTACTATGCACTCTGCGCTGATGTTCATTTGGATACTGGATTAACCATCCTCTCCTTCCAAGCTTGTGAGCAATACTTCCTTCGAGAAGGCGAGCAGATGATCAGTCTATATGATCCTGAAGCGGAAAGACGATATTTCACGGCCATGTGGCTATGGTATCCAGACATAAGCTACCTAACTTTTAAGGAAATTTGATTAACATCGTTGCTATTGCCCGTTGAAAAAGAAAATTGATGGAACTTATCTGTAAGGTGTGTTAGAACTGAGCAATGGGAGGCTGCTGAGATATGGAGCGGTAGGAACGTAGAAAGCACCCCCATTATCGATGAACATATAGTAGCAGCGACGATTACTTGTTTAAAAAAGATCGAGGGTCTACTAATTCTTTATGGTATCAATTTTTTATTTCAAACTTGGAAAAGATTTATTGCAGAATTTTCGGACAATTCGTTAAAATTTTATTTGTACAGTTCATAAATTAAATAGCAGAAATGCTGATGCAGCTATCACTATGATAGAGATAAAGAGTATATTTAAGAGGATAAAGAAAATGATCAAGATTGTTAAAATCGTTATTCCCAGGTATAATTAATTAGTAGCGATGATTCTAATTGATCGAACTGCGATATCGAAATGAAATATTTATCGCCATTATTGCAGATACATGTTACTGAAAGCGTATTACTGTATGATAAAATCTCAGAAAGGTGCTGCAATGAAGCTGCTAAAAAAATTGCAAAAAGTGTGTAGAAAAATGGAGAACAAAATGATTTACATGTGGGCACTGCATTGTGAAAAGGTTCTTCTTTTATTATTAAAAGAAAAGCTCACATTTCCGGAGTAAAAATATTCAATTAAATGAAGGATACTAGTCTATTCTCTTTTATGCCTTTTTTTTTCATTATAAAATATTTGGAAATATATTCTAGGTTTGGACAGGTGGAATTTCTTCTGTACATACGGATAGGTGGAGAGAAATTTCGGAAAATGTAATGTTAGATAAATGGAACGAAATCAATGTAAATGATACGGATATGATAGTCTTTACTTTCCCTTTACCAAAATATCTTCATTGACAACTTGCTGTTCTTAATTTTAATTAAAATAAATATAGTACAACAATAAAATACATATAATAGCAAAAAATTGTGTACAAAATTTTTCTTTGTACATTCAATTGTAAATAAAAAATGAAATCCGAAACAAATGATATTGAGAAAAATTGATCGTAGCAATTTTTCTAATTTTATTCTTTGGAACTTGATAAAACGCTACATGAAAAATAATTAACAAAATTACAGTGTTAAAATAATTAAATTATTTTAATTCTATAGTAAGTAAATCAAATTGAAATTTTATACAAAAGAACATGCAAACTCCACCCTCAACTTTATGTAAAAAATCAATAACTTCTGCAATGATTTTACAAACCACACCTAATAATTGTAATACGGTATGTTTCTTAAAATAGCAAAAAATAGATCTAATAATTACAGAAATAAAATGATACTTCAACAGGTATGTTACTCCACTCTCCTCCCTTTTGTCCCCACAATGCCTAGGGGTTTTGCATGTTACTTTAATAAATATCATCCATATACAACACTACGCAATATCTGCACTTTTACCTGTCCTCCTTATAGTAAGATATAATTTAGCACGAATAAATATAGTATAAATAGAAAAGGAGGAGAAATAATAATAAAATTATTTTTTTCAGCATCTAGCGTATACAGATGTTAGATAAAATTCTCTAAATAACATATGACTCTATATAAGTAATGTAAAAAAAATATACATGTACAATGTGTCATGTATAAATTATTAATACAAAATTTTTTATGTCATGGAAAGTATAAATGAAATAGACATGAGTTTGTTTTGAAGTAATTTTAATTTATGCAACAATTCAAATAATATAGATTTTCTATAATATCCTACCATTTCCGTTTACCTTGTGTAGCATGTGTTAATATCCATGTTTTATATTCACTTTTCTTTCTTTCCACCTGATTGTGTCTTGGTCGTTCCTTACATAATATATACTTTCTATCATTCTTTGTTATTAGCAAGCAACTTTTACATCTTCTTTTCAATATAGTTTTCATTTTTAAACCACATGTAACATTATACATAGGTAATGCAGGTTGAAGCAAAATTGAAGTAATTTTATTCGTACATGTGCTTGACAAATTATTTGTGTATTGTTCATTACATATATAATGCATGTTACAGTTTATGATTCTTGAAAATGGTTCCATTGACGGTATTTTTGAACTAAAAAGTTTTAAAGTTTTACAGGTACTCCAAAGTAAGGGACACAAATTCATTGTTCCTGCAAAAATATTTTTATATGTATACAAATTATTTTAATTTTCATGTCCACGATATAAAAGTATATTTTAGGTTAAAAATAAAAAATTAATCTCGATTATATGATATAGTTGAATTGATTTTACAAACCGGCAAATATTTGTGACACCAAAATTTACGATAATTCACGAATTATTTTAACGTAATAAACTCTTTTGAAAACAAGATTTTCTTGAATACTTTGTTTCTTTCGGTTAATCTGATACATTAATACGCAATGAATTTGTTTAGTGATAACATTAGAGGTCGTTCACATGTAGCTTCTATATATACAAAATTATTTTAATCACAAGTTATAAGCGAAATGTTTGATATACTGTCAATTAATAAACCATATAAATATTGCTATGATGCAAATAAATAAAACACATTATATAAAGAAATCTATTTACATCGCACTTAGGACAAGTTAGTTTTAAGAACCATTTCTTAAAAAATTCTTTGTAACTGGATTAACTGGTTTGTTGGAATAGAAAGTTAAAAATAAAAAATGAAATATATTAAATATTTCTTTATATAAAAAAAGGATAAATTCAAAAAAAAATAAAATATAACCTATAACAACTCAAAAACAGTATGTCAAAAGAGATATTTGGATTTACCAATTTCAGTTATAATTCAATTAATACAATCACGTTAGTGAAAAACTTCTTTTCGATATCGTTTAATCAGTTGTAACAATACATTTTTTACTTAGGTTATGTTTTATTCCTAAATTTCTTAAGGAAACTTCGTTAGACATCTTATTAAATATTATAAAAAATATTTTTCACAGTTATACACATCTGAATTTAATGAAAAGAATAAACGTGAAATTATCAACATGTTGTTAAAAAATATAAATAATTTACTACAAGTTTTTGTAAGTATTTTAAAAATAGATAAAATAACATAAATATATAACAATATAGTTACATAGTTTTGACCTTTCTGATTTTAAGTTATAAAAAATTATACTTCTAATGAGATTATTATATTCCTATAATTCAATAGTGAATATTATTGAATTTAAATTACAATTACAGGTTCTTGGTCAAAAAGTAACCAAACGGTATCTAAATTTTATACCCGTTGTTGTGGAACAAAGTGGAAGAGGAGAACGTGCATATGACATTTATTCACGTCTCTTAAAAGAAAGGATTATTTGTTTAATGGGACCGGTATAACTTAATACATTTCTCATCTTTCTAGATTTAAATTGATACTGAATTTTTTATTTAACATCAATTTTTTAATTAGAAAATAAGAAAGGTAATATTATTTAACAGATTACAGACAATGTGTCTTCAGTAGTAATTGCACAACTACTATTTCTTCAATCAGAAAATAGTAAAAATCCAATTCATATGTACATTAATTCACCTGGTGGAAGTGTAACAGCAGGGCTTGGTATATATGATACTATGCAATATGTTTTACCTCCTGTTGCAACATGGTGTGTGGGCCAAGCATGTTCAATGGCAAGTTTATTATTGGCTGCAGGAACAAAAGGAATGCGTCATTCATTACCTAATGCAAGAATTATGACACATCAGCCATCAGGAGGTGTATCTGGTCAAGCTACTGATATACAAATACAGGCCCTAGAGATATTAAAGCTTAAAAAGCAAATTAATAATTTATATGTCAAACATACAGGCTTAGATCTGGAAAAAATAGGTATGTAAATTTGTAAAGTTATATTAAACAAATACTTATAATATATTATAACTTTATAGAACGTTGTATGGAAAGGGATAATTTTATGAGTCCTAATGAAGCAAAGGAATTTGGAATTATAGATAAGGTACTATCACATCCTATGCAAGAAGAAGAAACAGAAAGCACAAAATTATCAGAAGTTGCTCTGGAAGTTACTACCCAGCCTTGATATTAGGATTAAAAAACATCTTCTTAAAATTATGAAATTTTATTACAACATGTATTTATCAATATTTAAAAAATAGTAATAAAATATTTTTAAAACAATTTATATCATGTATATAACTGTATTTAAGTACAGCAAATGTGCCCATGTTTTGTAAATATCATGTAAATATATAACGTAGAACAATGATTTCATAAATGATAAACATATGAATTAATGTTTTGATAAAAAGAATCATTCACATCTCTTTGATATTATTTCTCAGGCAAGCAGTATATCACCAAGCATTCTCGCTATGTGCTGGACATATGTAATGCTATGATTATAGGAAAAACTGCATAAAATCATAACGGAAGACAAGATTTTGTATCAAAATATATCTATATACAATTAATGATTAATTTTGATTTGAATGATTTATCCTGTACCGCATATCCTGTACGTATCATTTTACCGCAGTTTATAATGGCAGTCACGCGCTTAAGGTATTCTTAAAAATACATTAAGTTTATAATTCCATTAGTATTCTATTATCACCAAAAGTACTGTATAAAAAGGACGGAATTAATTATGTGTCTCAATGCTAGACAACAATAAAGCATTTCACAGTATATTGACATTGTATGTCATTAAAAAATATATATTCCCCTAACACCAGCTTTTGCAAAACCAGTTTCATATTCTTCTTTTGCGTGTAAATTGCACGATCACTCTGTGAAAATCACTGAGGACATACTTGAGCATGTGCAAGCATCAATATATCTTTTTTTTCTTTAGGAAATCTAAGTTCTCTTCCAGCTAAACGTGCCGCTTCGAGTTCTCGTTCAGCCAACGTTAATTCCATAGCAACAACGCCGCCGCCACTTTCGTGCTCTCTTGCGACCCAATCTAATGCCATTTGGCTACGCATATCATCGTCCAAAGCTCGGTGGCTATAATGAGCAACTACTTCCTGTCTACTACACTGCCTTTCTCTCATTGCTTTCAAAGACCCATTCCAATGAAGTAATTGGAAAACTGTCATTAACTCTTGAAATTCTAACATCGTTCTCCCGCGGTTACATTCCAACATAAAACGAAACGCGCCTATACCTGTATTTGGATCTTCTTTTTCATCTCCATTTCCCTAAAAATTGAACCATTGATTGCAATAAATTGGTTAATATGAACAATAAATATACTCATAGATTCAAATTCAGGATGTACCTGTGTTTGATTGCCAACACTATTAGAAGAAGCAGAAGGCTTAGCAAAGCTAGCTCTTGCTTCTGCAACAGCTTTCTCTATGAAGTCATCTGTTATTTTGCGTGCTGGATGTTCATTAAAAACAGAATTCATCAAAGCAATTTTTGCTGCTGACCTACGAGCTTCTGCTTTAGTGGGGCAATTCTGGAAACTACCGAAGCAAGATCCTCCAGGTAGAGTTACATAACACACATATGGTGGACTGGTGCCAGGTACAGATTCATAAATAACTAATGCTCCATTTCTTAGCTCAGTTCCTCTACTTTGTTTCATTTGCCAAAATTCTTGCAAAGCTTCTACCACATTCACTAGAAGAAAAATATACAATGATATATAAAATATTTAATCTGAGATAAAGAAAAATTATACCTCGTCCATAGCCTTGAGTGTGTTTAGCAAAGCTGTTAACAACTGCTTCCACTGCTTCTTTTAACACTTGCTTGTCTCTAGCATCTACCAATCCACCTGTGATGCCCATATTTTCAGGAACACGAGATTTTGTTTTAACTGGCATTATGCCCTGCATTACCTCTTAAAAGCTCACGTACATTTACGTCCTATAAACGTGATTACTATAATTTCTTGATTGAACAAGCTAAATAATAAAAAAAACTTCGGATTAAAAAAAACGGTCATTGACAGAGTATAAATGAAATTTTTATTCCGATATTGGGATCAAAGATTAATCAATTATAGAACGAAAGAAATGAACTGATAAAGTACAAAAAAAGATGTTACATACGTAGCTAAAGTCAGCAGAACAATATTAGCAAAGATTGTCTTTCTCAAATGTTCGATGTGACAGGTCTTGAATGTTATGCGAACAATGAAACGGTGAAGCAATTGCTGCGACACCGAAGGCATCAGACGTGAAAAGAAATCCTGGAGGCCCACCTGCAGAGACCCGGATGCCCAGGAATTCGCGTAAATTACTCTCCGACCGAGCGCTACGGGATCAAATTGCAATACACATATAACGCGTTTAATGGCCCCGGACCACTGACGATTTCCAGAAAACCAGGGCTGTCTACTTCGGTCAAGTACCCCATGCTACGGTGACACTATCATCGAGGATTGCCAACTGATTATCAACATACTCTACCAAGAACAGTGTCGGATTTTATGAACATGGACCCCGTACCTTGATAAATAAGGCATCTTTTAATATGATATTCACAATGAAAAGAAAAATATGTATAATAATACAACATTATTTTAAATATAAATTATTTTCTTATTAATTTTATCTTATTTCGAGAATATTGTACATTTAGAGTTATTGAAACTTATATATAGTAGCAAATGAGATTATATAAATAAACAAAATTATAAAAATATATTGTAATTATCGATAACTACATAAAATATAATTTAATTATCATTTTATATATACAGTTTTTAAAATAAATAATAAATATATAAAAATATAAGAACAGCATTGAAAATGATTAAAATAGATAGCTGACTGATTCTTAAAGTTACACGTGGGATAAAGCGCCATACATGAGCCACTATCAGAAACTGCATGATCAGTTGATAAAAAAGAGCAGCATAAAAAGTAGTAATCATACTTATCATTTTTTCACACTTATTGTTTTCGTGTCATTTCCAGTATTATCAATATAACACAGAATAGGATAACACTATAGTTAAAATTAAAACTAATAACAAGGATGATTATAAACTCATTAGTGATTTGGGTAAACTTACGATACAAAACACATACAGTAATTAAATTTTCTAGAAATAGATTGCGATTTAATTAATATTATATCAACAAAGATTCTACTCCTTTATTTAATTGACAAATTTTATTTTAAATTACATAAAAAAATAGAATGTGAATTGGATGAATGAGGGCTATCAACTAGCTAGGGGTGTTAGTTAATAGCTCTCATCTACTGCATTTATATTTTGAAACTACACTAATTATTTTCCAATCTACATGGTATCACAGTTAAATGATAAATGAAATATAGGTACATACTTGGAAATCTATATATATTATAAGTGCACGATTACTATCGTCGCTACAATTATAAATTTAACTATTATATCAATATATAATTTACTAATTTTCTCATTCCTACTGTAAATTTATGCTTTCAACAATTTACCATAATAAAAATTCATCTATCACTCTTTTTTACAATTTCTTATCTATTTTGTGAATGTATAAAAAGGGATATTTTTCATCTGTTAATTTTATCTACTTTGATGATGAAGCTGGATATAATCTAAAATACAGTCATTCTAAATCATAGAGGGCGCAAAAAAACCATTGATTTTTTGTGAGATCGGTATTTCAGTTCGTGTAATACAAAGTTCCATATGATGTTAGATCTACGCTATATCTTGTCTGTGATTATATTTTTATATTAAATTAGATGCTCTATTCTATCACATCGCTATTAGCATTATTCATTAATTCATAGATATATTATTATGTTAAGGAAATCTTTTTGAAATTGAACTATTAATCATACACCTTATATTCAATTAGGAAATCCATTTACATATTTCAAGAAATATGTTGCAATTATTAATTCGAAATTTATATGAAAATATTGCACATGCCAAAATACCTTTTCTTTCTATCTCTATGATTCATGACTGCGTCTTATGGAAAAAACAATTTACGCGCGCACATTTCCCGCGTGGTCAGGGCGTAAATGCATGCATGCATTGATACATATTTGTGTGTGTACGACAGATCAGCTGAGCGCCAGCTGTGCTCTTCCTTACGACCAATAGGAATCGCTTATACTATTGCATAGCAGCGCCTCAATACACGACCGGTGCCCACAGGTTTGGCGTTCCCGCGAAAGTAATTCGTAAACTTCAGTTCGTGATTCAAAAGCATTATTTTACATGTATATACCTGTCTTAACACGATTATTTATCTGCTTTAGCTTAATTGTGTATGGTGTATTTAAGTGTGATAATATTTTCTCAAATTCTTTGAAAAAGTCGTGGTAAAATCGAGCGGGAAACATAGATGCGCAGAACGCGTGGGTGCTGTGACTCTTTGGATTTATTCATCGTCTATACGTAATATTTAATGTTTTAATACGAGTGTGTCGCATTGTTCGCGTAAAACATACTTCTGCTGGTTAATAAACTGTGATTTAAATGAGTTTTTACAACATTTTACCTCGTAAAAGCGTAACGAGAACGAGACGTCTGTCATAGGACGCCAACGTTGCGCCACGTCTGTGTAGCCCTTAAATTCGGTGCAGGTATATGAAAGTAATAGTGTTTATTGGTTGGAATTAGGCAATAGGACTCCGAAGAAGCTATTCATTGAAAATTTAGAATTTTTTTGCCCCTTTGAGGTTATGTTATACATATAGAGGGCGTGACAGTGGCAGATTGTAAGCAGGGGTTGGTCATCGTTTCGCGCGCTGGTCTCCCGCGCTTCGAGTTCCACGTCCCGTATTTTTTTGAAGAATTACCATTCTGTGATATCTCGAGGCTTGAAACTGTATCAGAAAAGACTTTAGGAAATTTTCGTGCTACAAAACGTTTTGCGATTAAAAAGTTATGACATAAAATATTGAATCAAACGCAGCCAAGTATACGTGCATTATGGCGATCGGGTGCGTGTAAGCTTCGCGCGCTCTTTTACTTTTCGGCATTTTCCTCGAAAAATTACCGAGCATATGCTATAAAAATTAAACAAACATTCAATTAAAACACCAACAAATCTGTGTTCATATTAAAAAGGGCCATTCTCGTTCCAAATATTTTTTGAACACGTCGACAATTCCGAAGCAAAATGCCACAGACAAGGTGAGCAAACGACTTTCCATTTGGTCTTAAAATTTCATTCGATCCTTTCAATATTTTGTCGTAAACATTTTAAATTTATTTGAAATAAATTTAATTGATTCCAGCAATTTCCATTGCTTCCCAAATAAAAAAGAAATGGAGAAATATGCATGTATAACCTTCTTTAATTAGTTCTCACTTTTTAGGAGTTTTAGTATTATTGTACGAGTAGTATAAACATGGATTTTTATTTTATGGTTTTATAAATACTTTGTGAGCAATTTCCATAAGGTATATTGTTAATATGGAACATGTATAATTACAAAAAGATGTTAGACGTTAATTAGAACGTAATTCTGTTCTCTTCCAAAAATAGTTTGATCTGCCTTACAAAGGCACTGAAGTTTTATATTTGATATAAGAAAGCATTTAATATTATTATGATGATATCAGTAAAAGATCATTTTCTTCCTTTATCTAGTTTACATGGGAAAAAATCACAGACTTACTTACAAGGAGGCAAAGTAGTAACACAAACTTCAAAACGTAAAAGACGGGCAACAGAAATTTCTGAAGATTCAGAAAATGTATACCCGCCTAGTAAAATACCAGCATTATCACATGTATCATATGCAGAATCTTGTCATACAGTACATTCATTAGAAAATTCATGCACACCACATCAAGTGTCTCCATTGAAAGAGCAACAAGAACCAGCCACATGGTCTGAATTAAGAACTGCAACATGTTTTTTAACGCCATCTTCTTCTAATAATACGTTAAATAGACCAAGTCCTTTACCATCATTTCCATGGGCTGATGGTTCTCAAGTTTGGTCTCTTATGTGTTTGGGAGATCAAAAGACCATTACTCAAAGGAATCCACAAATGTTCCAAAGGCATCCAACATTACAACCAAGAATGCGGGCAATTTTATTAGATTGGTTGATTGAAGTTTGTGAAGTGTATAAGCTACATAGAGAGACTTATTATCTAGCAATGGATTACATAGACAGATATTTGTCCATTCATCACAATGTACCCAAAAATCAGTTACAATTAATAGGCATTACATGTCTCTTTATAGCTGCCAAGGTATGTATATATTTTAGTTTTCTGTATACTGAGTTTCAAATAACTGATTGATAATTCTTTTACAGGTTGAGGAAATATATCCACCCAAAATAGCAGAATTTGCATACGTTACTGATGGAGCATGCACAGAGGAAGAAATCTTAGGAAAAGAATTAGTAATTTTGAAAGGTCTTGGGTGGAATTTATCCCCAGTCACTGCTCCTGGCTGGCTTAATATTTATATGCAAATTGAATCAGGAGATTGGTCTAGACCGAATGCATTTATTTATCCACAATATGGAGGTTTACAATATTCTCAGGCAGCTCAATTGTTAGATCTAGCTACATTGGATGAAGGAAGTTTAAAATTCCCTTATAGTCACATAGCTGCAGCAGCTATTTACCATACACTAGGAAGAGAATGTTCCTTAAGAGTATCCCGTATTCCATGGGAGCAGCTTGCACTCTGTGTTAAATGGCTTACTCCCTTTGCAATGACAGCTGCTGAAGAAGATTCTCAGTGCCTTCTAAGGTCTACAATAACACCTGTAGAATCACATTCTGGATCTGGACTTAAGGCAACAGTGCCTAATATAGTAATGGATGAATCACATCGTATACAAACTCATGTAGTAGATTTAAATATGCTAGAAAGAGCACAACAACGATTAGTAGATGAAATTCCTTCTACTGACACAAATGAATCTGACTCTAATCTCGAATCTGGTAGGCAGAGTCCAAATGAAAGTGGTCTTTTAACACCACCATCTAGTAGTCAAAAGAATTCTACCACACCGTCGCGTCCTCCACCGCAGTTACACCCATATACGTAATCAAATATTTATAAATACTTCATAGTCTTTGTTAAGCGTTTCATTTACTAATTGCTGGTGAATGATTTTAATTAAACATAGTAATGTATATGTCTGTTAGGAAATATCATTAACTGCTTGAAACAGTTTTGCCTTGTATAAAGCTGCACAATGTGCTATGAAGTACGGGATTGCATAAGTGCACGATAATGACAGTGAACACTGTATATTATCGTAAATAATACGGTGCTCCCCATTAAAATCCATTGTCTTTGAGCAATGATATTTATCTTGTAATAGTAAGACATACAGTACAAGGTGTTAACCATTTTCTGTAGTAGTGTCCACAGTGACACTGAATTTATTTAATATTACTTGTTTTATTGTGGACGTTTAAAAGAAGTGCCTTGCATAGAGGAATGTAAACTTACACGAAAGCCTATGGCTATCTTCTGTGATTATATTCATGCAGTGAAACTTGATAATACATTATATTATTATATTAGGGAGAATTAGTAATGATTACTATTTTCATAAATCTAGACGACATTAGTGTCTGCAAATAGTGTCCTTAAAAAAAAACTGTTTTTATTAGTACTGAGCTAAGGAGAGCATTGTGAATAGTATTCTTTTATATATTTTGCTTTATTTTATCGCAACGTATTATAACAATGCGTTATTAAGCCGGGTGAATGTATTTTTATGTATATGTATACTGTGAAGTACTAATAATTAAAAAAAAAAAAAAGAGCGATAGGGTGCGAGGGGATGAATGCACGAGTGAAGATACAAGACTACTAATTATGAAATAAGATTAAAAACTTCGTGATCAATTTACACTGCCTTGCATGTAGTGACGCGGTCGTTTATACACATTTGTATGAAAAATTTGACAATAAATATTTGTAAATCTGGACATTAATCAAATGACCTTTTTCTTCTTTGAAAGTGAGCGAGCATATAAAAAATTTGTTGATTATAATACATGGTTTTATAAATCTTACGAATTAAATTTACAATGATGAATCGAATGTCGGAATCGATATTACCGACAACAGAAAATGGTAACCTAGCGCCACAGTGTTTCATTTCGAAACGCAATAACGCGGTGTGATTGGCTATGGCGTTTACATTCAAGTTGTCAAATGCCAGACGGCCGTTAAGAAAGCGGTTGCGTGCTAAACATTGTAACGGCGGCTATATCGAGAAACGTGTGCGTGCAATTTCAACAAAATAAAGCCTTTTACTCGTTTTAATATTTCATTAACTGCCAGTGCTATAAAGTTTATAATTATTGCGAATACATGTTTGAAAGGAGTCGTGTCTTTTGTTCGTAATGCCAAGAAACATGCAGTGTAAATGCTAGCATCAACAATTTTCAGTGTTTTTTGATTCATATACAAAACGTTTCACGATTCTATTTAATATCTATCGCATTTGCATTCAACAAAAGTGCAACAACGATCGCCAGAATGTCAAGTCAAAGGAATACCAATTGTTCAGTTCGCGAAGGCACCCGGGTAGTACTCAGGGAAATTACTGCATCCCTTCATAATTCGCCGCCTATGCAACCTCCTCGTCGCAAGGTATTTATACGCTTTCCCTGCGAATGATAACGTATTCGCAATGCGCATGACAATGAACTTTAAGTCGACATATTCAACGTTCTTATCGGTTTATCATTTCTCTTTTTACTCAGTTGTCTTTTCTCTCTGTTTTTATTGCAAACAGTTGTGCAGGAGAATCCTATAAATAACCCTTGAATCTCCAGGAGCACCTTGAAACGAAAATAAGCTTTGCTTCCCGAGTGGGAATATCTTTCTTCTATGTCTGGAAAAAACGCATACTCGTATATAATTTGTATAATTATTCATCATATATATATGTGTGTGTGACATATTTGAAACATATTTGGCGCATATGTAACTGTATATTACAATCGAAGATATAATATCTACCACGTGCGCCGAATGATTAAGAGGTGTACAGTTAAAACATTTAACACGTTAGTTTACTAATCTAAAATTCTTATAATATATACATACATACATATATATACACGTTCTTTCTCGTACATGAACCAGAAACTGGTTTGTCCCGAGTACTACAAAAATGAAACCGGTTCTTCAGATTATTATAAAAAAACGATATATCTTTGTTTATATTCTTACTTACGGAAACTTCGATGGACACTTGTAATATTTTATACTAGATCTTTTATTCATGCAGCTTCATTAAGTTTTCGACATTTCCTTGATTTTCATAATTTAATCTTCTATATACAATGGCTGGATCATGTTCAAATTAGACTTAACGCGCAACTATCTCTGCACAAGAGAAAGTGTTGATTAATAGAGTTAAGATTAAGAATATCGCAATTACCCATACATTATAGGATACATATCACGAGCAATAATAATGTAACTTTCGAACAGATATCGCAATTCTAGCATAGAGAAAAACGCTCTATTTGATATTATTCAGTCTCTCCGCTATTTTTTCCTCTTTATTTCAACAGATATCGAATCATACGAAAGAGGTTGCGAATCTTTTTTCTCTGTCATATTTCAACGACGCTTAACCCTCTTCTCATTCGATCACTATTTACCTACTCAGCAATCGAACGCTCGATTAACGAGTATCCACATGTCACTCTAGATAGCGCCACGCCGTCGCACCATCCGGTGCCATGAATCGTGTCCCACCACTTCCATAGTTGGTGATCTTTGTAGCATAATGCCCGTGTGGCGTGTGCGCG